AATTGAGAGAGAACGAGAGAGAACAGCGTGCATATCAATTTTTTAGAGCGCAAAAAAAGAAATTAGCGCCTCTAACCCGTCCGACTGAATCCTATGCGGATTCCCAGCGCTATATATGCACGAATCTTGGCACTTATCGAACAGCCTAAAAAATGACAAATCCGATAGAAAAAATCACACGACAAATCTATAGCAAAATCGATTAATTTTAGCTTGTGAGGAGTAAAAAAAAACACGCGCACACACAAATTCTATTTTTGGCCCGAAAATGCTAATGGGCGATTGCGCGTAGCCCAATCCACGTGATCAGATCAGTCCATTCTATTTTTGGCCCACGCGGTTTCAGCCTTTTTCATTTTTGGTAAATTATTTCACATGCTGTTTTTTTAGGAAAAAGTACACCGGAGGTCCCTTAACTTGTCATCGAGTTACAAAATCGTCCTCGAACTGCAAAACCAGATACAACACATCTCTCAACTTATAAAACCAGGGCAAACTAGGTCCCTCAGTGGTTTTGACTCCGGTTTTGTCTGATGTGGCAGCTGACTCAGCGTGAGACCCATGTGGGTCCCACATGTCAGCCTCTTCTTCCACTCCACCTCTCTTCCTCTCTCTCCTCTTCTTTTCTCTCAGGGTCTCAGCAGACAGCAGTGCAGCCGACAGGTCGGGAGTCCGGTGGCGGCGGTGACGGGCGATGAGGTGACGACGCAGCAACGAAGCGGGAGCAGGAGGGCTTCCCTCCACGCCGCCGCCACCGCCACCGCCGACGGCGCGAGACCGGCACACGGAGTCCTCGATCTGTCTCGCCGCCATGGATCACCGTCTGCAGCGGCGGCGGTGGCGGTGGCGTGGGGGGAGGCCCTCCTGCTCCCGCGTCGTCGCCGCTGCCGCCTCGTCGCCCGTCGTCGCATCGCCGCCGCTGCCACCTCGTGTGGGCTCACGGGTGGGCTGGTGTAGGCCTCAAATGTGAACCCGGTGAGCACGACGGCGAGGTTGGGATCAAACGGCGGCCAGCAGCGGGTCCTCCCCGACGAAACCCTCCCCGGCGGCGCTCCCCAATTCGGGCTTCACGACGGACTGCGGCCGTGACGCGGTGGAGGCCGGCCGCCCAGGTGCTCCCCCGCCGCCTGTGCACCTCTCTTCCTCTGTCGTCCGCCGCCACAGCGCGTGTCTCCATCCCGCCGCCCATCGCCGGCCGCCCAGGTGCACCCCCGCCGCATGCACACCGCTATTCCTCCGTCGCTCGCTGCCACAACGCCTGCCTCCACCCTGCCGCCCGTCGCTGGCCGCCCAGGTGCTCCCCCGCCGCCTGCGCACCGCTCCTCCTCTGTCGCCCGCTGTCGCTGGCCGCCCTGTCCCACCGAGGCGCCGTCGTTGCCCTGTCCCACCTCACCCCACCGAGGAGAAAACTGAGAGAGAGGAGGAAGGAAATAAGAAGAGGAAGAAATGATGACGTGGTCACCCTGAGTGTGGGGCACGCGTGGGTCCCATGCCAAGTCATATGCCACGTCGGATAAAACCGGAGTCAAAACCGTCGAGGGACCTAGTTTGCACTGGTTTTGTAAGTTGGAGGATGCGCTGTATCCGGTTTTACGGTTCAAGAACGATTTTGTAACTCGATGACAAGTACTTTTTCCCTTTTTTAAGCATGTTGCCCAATTCGTTTTATATGGGCTGAATTGGGTCTCCTTCCTTAGACATCTCCTTTTTGCCCATGTTTACCAAGTTTATACGTATGTATTTGAATTCCATATGTATAAATTATATGTATATAAACCGATAAGGTTGTAAGAATTGTTGTTTTCTTCACAAAGAAGAGACAATTAGATATCTATTTTATGAATACCGCTTTGCTCATTCTATTTGGTCCATCATCCAAGTAGCGTCAAGGCTACCTTCACCTTTGTAATGTAGCAGGGTCTGGCTTGAAATTCAGGATAACTTGAAAACACATGTACTGTTGGTACAAATAGTTGTTACTTGTTGATTGCTTTGATTTGTAGTAATAATGTGTTGTAAAAAAATCCTCTTTTGTATGTTATATTTTTTTTACTTAACCATTTGATCCGTACTTGGGTTATTATACAGAAGCCTTGTTAGGAGGACTTTAGTTGCGACATGTCAACATTTAAAGAATATGGATAGGGAGTGTTTTAACTAGGGCATGGATGACGGCATAGTCTTAGGTTGCGTTTGTTTGGGGTTGGGAATCTTTCTCCTGGCATGCGAAACGGAGCGGTGGATTAATCCATGATTAATTAAGTATTAGCTTTAAAAAGCTTGAAAAATAGATAAATATATTTTTAAAAGCAACTTTTCTATATAAGTTTTTTTAAAAAAAAAGTACCGTTTAGCAATTTAGAAAATATTTTCGTGAAAAAACGAGGGGTACCAATTGAAAAGGTATATTACTGAACACACTCTTAGAATTGATGACCCGTAATACTTCATATAGCCATATAGTTTCTCAACTTTGTGGGTGAGGTAGGTGGTGTTTGAAACTGATGAACATGAATATCAAGTTGGTGCAAATTAAGTTTTAATTATTACAAATTCGATAAATGGATATATGTTTGGTTATGTATATCCTAGCTATGCAAGGGTTTAAAGTGCTTTCAATGTACTATCTTCTTGTAATTGACTGTGATCAGCAAGAAATTTCTATTATAATTACCTAAGGAAAATGTTTTTTTCATTGGTATAATTACCCTAGTTCGGGTTTGTGATTTTTTGAAAAAGAAGTTTTCAAAGATGGTCCGAAAGTTCCAAACATGTGTTACTGGTGACGAAATGTATGCACTACATGCATGCTGCCCTGTAGAAAACTTGGACATTGACAACAACACTTGGGCTCCACATGTCATATTTAATATTTTGGTGACCAAAGCAAAATAGTACTCCTCCTTTTCTATATTTTTCGTACACTTGTCTCTGTGAATAAGATATTCAGTTGGTCAAATCCAGAAAAAAAAAAGAGAAACTGTTCTGTTGGAAGCATCGAAATGTCCGGCAAAGACCATTATTATTGGACAACAAAAGAACGAATATTCCAGGTCCCCTGAGAAAATGTTGTATACTTTTTTCACTACAATCCTCTTTAAATGTCTAAATTTCATAATCGTACCATGATGAACGATTTTTTTTTTTTTTGCCTGAGGCCTATAAACTGAAGTAATGAATTATTGAAAATTAAGTGGTGCCGGCCATCGTTTGGTGCGAATTAGAGAGCTGTTATTTGCTTTTTTTTCGAGATAAAAATAGTATAAATACACAGGTATAACACAGTTTGAGCAAAAAGGAGAACCTAATGTAACAAAAGATCGATTACAGGCCAACAACGTGTCCATAAATTATGATCAAATTAAGCCAACCATGTGATCTGCTATCACTCACTGTCAATGCTTAATCCGTCCATTGTCAACATGAGTGGTACTACAAAGCGATGCCATGTGATGAGCACTTTCTATCCCCTGTTGTCATCTATCAATCGATCACACCTGATCAGGATAAGTCTTTCGAATAGAAACCGGTTGAAATTAACAAAGCAATCTTCCTTATCTCCATATAAATTAAACTATTATCAGCTCTTCTAGAAGGTGGAAATTTTTAGATTTCTACCCGAAATAAAATACTTTGGTTATAATAATGGGACCACCTATATATTTGTCGATAAATTTTCTCCTAAAAATTTGACAGATATAATTATAGTACAATCGTAGTGTAATTACACTGTAACTTATATGTAATTACACTGTAACTTACATGTAACTACAGTGTAACTTATATGTAAGTTTCACGTAATTTTGAATCTTTAGATCTATTACAAGATTTGTTTTTGGTGAGGAAGAAAACAAATCATAGCATACACATATGTGAAAGAATTTGTTCCCATGACCTCCATTTTACTGAAATACTCCCTCCGTTTAGAAATGTTTGACACCGTTGACTTTTTAGCACATGTTTGACCGTTCGTCTTATTCAAAAACTTTTGTGAAATATATAAAATTATATGCCTACATAAAAAATATATTTAACAATGAATCAAATGATAGAAAAAGAATTAATAATTACTTAAATTTTTTGAATAAGACGAACGTCAAACATGTGCTAAAAAGTCAACGGCATCAAACATTTCGAAACGGAGGGAGTAACATGTTACGGAGAGATTTTTTGAAGTTACATACAAGTTACATTACAGTTACAGTGTAATTACATGCAAGTTACAGTGTAATTACACTACAATTGTACTATAATTACATCTGTCAAATTTTTAGGGTAAAATTTGTCGACAAATATATAGCAAAATTGTATAATAATTATTGTTATAAAGATGACGTGTGTTCTGCGAAGTGAGCATAGCTCATTTAGTTAGGCTTCTGGTAGTGGAACTTATTCTCTCAGGTTCAACTGTTTAAGTTACGGAACACGTCATCTTTGTCACAATAAGTATTTACGATTAATTATTCTTTCGGTATTAGGTGTTGTAAAACAGATCAAATCCTTGTTACGAAAAACTGGATCTTTTGTATGGCCCAAATGGAAGAACACCACAAGACATAGGGGTGTTTGGATAGGGCTAAAAATTTTTTAATCTCATTCACATCGGATGTGTAAACACTAATTTGGAGTATTAAACATAGACTAATAAACCAACTAATTTCATAAAGGAGAGCTAATCCGCGAAACGAATTTTTTAAGCATAATTAATCCATAATTAGCAAAGGTTTGCAGTAGCATCACATAATATAATCATGAATTAATTAGGCTCAATAGATTCGTCTCGCGAATTAGTACAAGATTATATAATATGTTTTGTAATTAATCTATATTTAATATTTTAAATTAACGTCCAAATATACGATGATGTGACAGGACGCGTGAAGTGTGGGCCATAGACAACCACGCAAGTAACCAAACCAAAAAACTCCTTATAAAAATACAATTCAAAGAAAAGGAAAAAAAAGAAAAGAAAAGAAAAGAAAACGAGGCCGCGCGTGGCGGCTGGCCTCAGCAGTCAGCGACCCAATTGCCAAAGGCGCCGGCTTTTTTTTGCCTCCTCCTCTTCCTCCATTGGTGGCTTCGCTTTGATCCCTCGATTCGGGAGAGGAAGATCGAGCCATTCCCTTCCCCCCACCCGATTCGTCTCCCCCCTCCGGCGCCCCTCGAGTTCTTGGATTCCCTCTTCTTTTTCTTCTTCTTCTTGCGTTGGTACAACAATCCGTCGAGAGCTCCGTGGCGTGGATTGGATTAATTCTCTCTCGCCGAGGAAGAAAGAAAAAAAAAAACGAGACGGAGGCATCGAGGTGGCCGTCTCCCCTCCGCCGCTATAACAACAAGCCGCCGCCGCCGCCGCCGTTGTCGCCGCTTTGCTCTCTCCGCTACTCCGGCGACCGGGGAGAGGTGCGTTTCTTGATTTTTTTTTTTGTTGGTGTGGCTTCGCTGCGTTCGTGGTAGGTCGTGCTTAGGTGATTTTTTGTTTTTTTCCCGGCGGGGTGGGAGTGATTGATCCTGCAATCTCCTTTTGTTTTTACATGGTTTCAGGGTGGAGAAGATTTTTACTCTGAAAAAAAGAATCATCTTTTACCCCCAAAAAAATTCGGAGTATGATTTGTTCCGCTTCTTGTCAATGTTTTGGTTGATGTTTTCACATGCTAATTCTGCGGTTGTTCTTTTGTGGCTTATTAGTCGTAGACAGTTTGTAATAGCTCAAGTCCAAGATTCCTGGAGCATATGCATATGTCATCTTCCCTTGTAGGAAAAAAGGTGGAGCAATACATTGAATTGATTAGTTTGGTCACCTGCCTGTAGTGTAGGAATATTCTTTTCTTTTATTTTTCTTCTTTTTTTTCTGGGATACAGATACAGTTGGAGACAAAAGTAGAAGATTATTGGGAAAAATTGCAGAAATGCTTATGTATTTGTCAGTGCTGATGGAACCTACTCTGCAGGGTAGTTGCATGATCGGCAACATCAATCTGAAGAATGGCTCTAAAATCACCAGTGGATTTTGCTGGCTCAATCACTTCAGGCCAGAAGGACCCGTGTTGTTTTGGTGTGCCCGGCTGCAATCCGCGATGTGTTAGATACAATAAGAAATCAAGAACATGCCGATTGGTTACTAGAGCCATATCCGTCGATCGCCCGCAGCTAGACTTCTCAAACTCAGACTGGAAGAAGCAGTTCCAGGAGGATTTCGATAGGCGGTTCAGTTTGCCTCACTTGAAAGATGTAATCGACGTTGAACCGAGGCCAACAACGTTTTCCCTCAAGAGCAGGTGAGAAATACGTTTGAATTTTGAAACGTCTATCTCTCTAGGATTTGTTTTATGTATAACATGATTTCTATGCCTACAACAGGACCCCTCTGGAGAATGTTAATGGTTCTATGCAAGGATCATGGAATGGCTATGTGAATGACGATGACAGAGCACTTTTGAAGGTATGTTTTATTGCTTTGACATTGAGCAATCAGATTTACCTAGACATGGATAAGCTCAAATAGACAAATACTCAATAACAAGTACTTCATTAGACTCTGGTCATGTCAAGATGTGCTCTGGATTTTGTTTTTTCGTTTTCGGAATACAGTGCATGAGCATGGATAACCTGAACTTAGTTTCAATGATTTTTAAATGCAGAATCATATCTAAGCCATGTGGCGGTAGGAATTTTTCGTTCGAGTATTATTCCTGCTACTCTAAAGGACATGTTGTAGAACTGCTCGTTGTTTACTTTCTTCTTGATACAATAAGAAGTTCTCATTGCAAATTTTTTCCTTCTTTAGGTTATTAAGTTTGCTTCACCAACATCTGCTGGAGCTGATTGCATTGACCCTGATTGCAGCTGGGTCGAACAATGGTGATAAATATTATCCACAAATTCAAATGTTGAATTGTGACAGTGCTTTTCACTTCTGTAACCAAAAGTTATCTTCTCCAGGGTGCACCGTGCTGGCCCACGTAAACAAATATATTTTGAACCTCAGTATGTAAAGGCTGGAATTGTCACCTGTGGTGGACTTTGCCCTGGTCTCAATGATGTCATTCGGCAGGTAGAACTGTTGAATAGAACAGGACAAGTTGAACTTTGAGACCCGTACAGAAAAATAGAAGTTGACTAACCCATCATATGATTATATTTCTGAGATTCTCTTCAACAAAACCCTAATTGTCAACTTGATCTTGCTTGCACTCTTGTAGATTGTGCTTACACTGGAAAAATATGGAGTGAAAAACATTGTTGGAATACAGCATGGTTTCCGTGGATTTTTTGAGGATCATTTAGCAGAAGTGCCAGTAAGAGACATTAACCAAGTTTCTGGAAAAATAATGATAATCATACCAAAAGTAGTTTAATGGTCTTTTTTTCCCCTTCACTCAGCTTAATAGGCAAGTTGTCCAGAATATCAATCTTGCTGGTGGAAGTTTCTTAGGAGTTTCTCGTGGTGGAGCAAATATCTCAGACATTGTCGACAGCATACAGGCATGAATACATCATTCTACAATTCAAAATATATTTTTACGATGAACTGATGCACAAAAAAACTTATCGATTTGATTTTTACATACCACATTCAGGCCCGGAGGCTTGACATGCTCTTTGTTCTAGGTGGAAATGGAACTCATGCTGGAGCTAACCTTATACATGAGGAGGTATGTTAAATTCCGTGTTCATTGTTTCTGAACAAAAGTTATCTTTTGTTCCTGGATTTTAATAGACAAAAAAAATATCTGACCTCAGTCATATATAGCATGAGTGGATGGCCATCTTACATCTATCTGTCTATTTGCCTCTTTTTCTTTCTTTTGATCTAGTGCCGCAAGAGAAAACTGAAAGTATCAATTGTGGGCGTTCCAAAAACCATTGATAATGACATACTACTGATGGACAAGACATTTGGATTTGATACAGCAGTTGAAGCAGCACAGAGAGCTATAAACTCTGCATATATTGAGGTGATTCATTTCATGAGCCATTCAGAATGAACTTGTCTGACTGAAGAACTATATATATAATATGCACATCATAGTTACCAGTTACCACCAAAACTAGTTTGGTAGCAGTAACAATTTTTTGTGTATTAGGCACATTCTGCATTTCATGGCATTGGATTGGTCAAGCTGATGGGAAGAAGCAGTGGCTTTATCACAATGCATGCTTCCCTGTCTAGTGGCCAAGTAGATATCTGCCTGATACCTGAGGTATGAACTCTTCTGTTGTTATGTATAACCTATGTACTATGCCACTACAGTTGATCAAGCTCATCGGTAATCTATGTGAAGGTACCGTTCACTCTTGATGGGCCAAATGGAGTTCTTCAACACCTTGAGCACTTGATAGAAACCAAGGGATTTGCTCTGATTTGTGTAGCCGAAGGAGCGGGACAGGTAAGGCTAATTCCAGATAGAAAACAAATTGTTTAAAGAAAGATTTTCAGTATGAATGATTCTGCATGTTAGTACCGGGTATCTCTTATATTAGGGGCAAGGTTGTGATATGGAGTATTAGTATACCACATAGATCATTGCTGTAAGCTATCCAGTCTATCATCCACTTTATATATAATAATTATGTAAGAAATGCTGCAATGTATTATCAGGAACATCTGCAACAGTCAAACGCAACTGATGCATCAGGGAACATGATCCTTGGTGATATCGGCGTGCACCTTCATCAGAAGGTTTGTCCATCGAATGACCTTCACCTTGATGATGTATCAAAAATCACATGCCAAACCAAATCTAACTTAACCGTGCCATGCCACAGATCAAGGCCCATTTCAAGGAAATAGGAGTACATTCTGATGTGAAGTACATTGATCCTACATACATGGTCCGTGCTGTGCGTGCCAATGCATCCGATGCCATCCTATGCACTGTGCTTGGTCAGAATGCTGTAAGGCACCTTTCCCTTCATTAGCTTTCTGCCACACAAGTTCTAGCAGTTCATGTTGTCTCAGCATTGATTTCTGATGGAACTTCGCAGGTTCATGGTGCATTTGCAGGGTTCAGTGGCATCACAACCGGCATATGCAACACGCACAACGTCTACTTGCCAATCTCAGAAGTCATCAAGTCCACAAGGTTCGTCGATCCAAACAGCAGGATGTGGCACCGGTGTTTGACATCAACAGGGCAACCAGACTTCCACTGATTCAGGTATTGACAGTGGAAGCTCATAGCAACTGAAGCTAAAAACTATAGGCGGTTTTGTGCTGTATAGTAAGAGTGGTGCTTGTGCCGCATCACTCGTTTGATGTTTTTTCGTCTTTCATCAGAAAGAAACATCATCTTCCATTGATCCTTGAGGTGCAAGATGGATACAATAAGCACCTCATTGAAAAGATAGCTTCTTTTTTATAGATTAGCAGTACATGGTTTATTAGAGACCACATAGAAGTAGAGAAGATTTCTAACTGCAAGGGAGATGGTTAGCTCCCGTTACAACTGCAGAAACATATGTACACATTACACATTCTTCACAGCTGAAATAATGGAGAGAACATTGCCACCAAACCAAGTACAATGAGCATTTGCATCGCAACTTTGCAGTAGATGTTCCAACTTATGAATTTTCAATTTTCATAAAATACGATTACAGTACACAGAAAATGTGTCGGTTCTCAGGAATGTAAATTATTCAAACTGGCACGCCGGTAACAATGCATGTCTATCTGATAGCTAGGCGAAGAATGTATGCTAATGGAAAGAATAGAATCCTTGAATGTATGCTGTGAAAAGTTCATCTGGTAAGAAACCTATATGCATTCTGACACTATTCTCCTGTACCCTTTTGTAAATTCTCCTTTAACCCTTTGTAAATGAAACAGTAGCCTATTTGTAAGTGAAACTGTACGTCCTGGTCAATACACCTTTGCTATGTACTTGTGCAGAGTGAACCAACTTTGGTTGGGTTACTCTGCAGTTTCTGCAATGAGCTCCTTGAGCACAAATTTGAGGCCCTTCATCCTCTTCCGTGCCCTCTGAAAAGCAACGTGTCAAAAACAGATTGAGCATTTGGTAGATATATGGTTATCACTTATCAGGATGGTTTAAAAGTTGCATTGGCTCACCTTCTGGACCTCAGCGATTTTGGTTTCCGCGTCGCTCAGCTGAGCGCCGACTGTCTTCTCAGCATTTTGAAGGAGCTTCTTGTGTGAGGCTTCTGTTGATGCAAATATTAGCACACACCATGGGTCAGTGAACGGTAGTATAAATAGAATCCTTGAAGTGGTTGTCCTGTTAACCACACCATAACTTGCATCCTAATAGTGCTAAGAGAGGATCAAAGCTGGAGTTATGTCACTGGACAAGTATGCCATTGCAGGGGAACCGGCGAACCTCTCAGAAAACTCACTTCATACGAAGATTGGGCTGTCATTCTTTTCAACTAAATTCGTTAGGTTTTTTCACGAAAACTAAACGTGTGATTTTAACTATACTAAGAAAGAGTTGAAGTACAAATGACTGGATAACATGTAGTGTTACCAATTTGTAAGTAGAGAATTCCAATGGAAATGCTTATAACCATACTTCCTACATTTCACAAAAACTGCCCGTCCTTTTCGGGATACATTCTTTTCATAATTAATGTAAATATTCCACCCTTTTCTATTATACCCTAATTTAAAGCTGTAAAACAGGTAGAGTGTGTCTAGCATGTCATTTAGTAGGCATATTTATGGTCATCTCAACATTTATTGGTTCTTACTTGGTGCCTCCTAGGTTGTGAGATGGAGGGAATAGTTCATCAGGCTCAGTATATAGAATGTTAACATGGCTTTGCAACCTTAGAGACTTTTTTCAGGTGTACATTATTTTTATGGGATTTTCAGGTGTACATTGGTAAGAAATCTTTAATTGCTTCAGTCCCATTCATAAAGATAGTGTATGTATTAAGTTTAACTTACTTTGCTTGTCAGCAACTCCCTTAAGTTCTGCATGGTAAGCCTCAAAATCCTCAACAGAGTTCTTGCAACCGAGCAACTGCTGGTTGACCTCCTCCTTGAACTTCTCGTGAAGAATCCTTAACTTTTCTTGTTGCTCTGCAAACCAGAAGACATCAGTTGAATAGTTAAAATCATCCAAGAAAAACAAGGCATGAAGGAAAAAGAAGTTGTAACATTATATACAGTTGCATATTGAGATTTAACTCAGTATATAATACGAGATCAAAATAACGAAGTAGATAAAGACCAAGCGTCCAAGCCACATCAGATGATTGCAGGCAGAATAAGACAAATACTGCATGAGATTTTCTCAAACTAATGTTCCCTCCATTTCAAATTACTTGTCATTCTAGCCAACCAAACCAAGGGAACAGGCAGATTACATTGTTATCCTGTAGTAGACTTCAAACATTCTATCTAGAGTTCAAACATGACTCTGTATTGATGAATCAAGATTTAAGAGTTTGTGTTACATGAGATGAATAATCCAAATACGTAGAATAAAAAATGTTACAGTTACAACAAACAATAGTTGGATAAAAAATATTGCCACATCATGCCCTCATAGATTAATTGCATTATGAATGGTTGCATCGACATGATTAGAGTTTTACCTTCAAATGTTGACTCTAGACGTTTCCTTTTAGATTTTCCTGCATTGACCAGCTTGTCCCTGAAATCACAGTTAAATGCCATGCATGAAAGAGGCAGTACATATCTGGCCTATATACAATCGCATGTGCATAAAGAAGAAAAGAGGCAGTTTCTAAGTGGCACTGGCACTCGATCTTACACATCAGCCTGCATCTGCCCCTCAACCCCTTCAAGGTGCTGGCGTATTATCTCTCCAGTAGCTGCAAGTATCTTAGAACTTTTATTCCTTGTTTCAGACTTGATTTTGGTTTGGAACCTTCCTAGCACCACTACTAACTGATCAAAAGCCCTGGTGGAAGTCAAGAAATGAAATTAATCCAAGTAGCAAACTAGCAATCATGTTTGTACCTACTATTTAAGCCACAATGACCTAAGTCAAACCTGGTTAGGTAGTTTTCTGGGACTTTTTCTGGTTCTTTGTCTGACATTGTTTCTTGCGTCCCTGAGAAAAAAAATATTGGTCAGACCGAAAACCATGAATGCACAAGCACAACAGTAAAGTAATCAGTGTTACCAGAGGTGGCAAAATGGGTTGGCGAAGTTAATTGCCTTTTGCCCTTTCTACCCTCTTTTAGATGTGATTTTCGGCCCAGATGCTCAATAGAAGATTTATCAGGGCTGTCAACATCTGAAAGCCATTTATGAGATTTATATCCTGCATGTGAAAAACAAAGCGACAAGGCATGAATAAGCAACTTTAAGATAGATAGATGTGTGCATCTCCAATGAGAACTTTAGCTCAAGTAATTAATGTTCTGAAAGGCTGAAAATAATACAGTCGAATAACTAAACTAATAGCGAATTTAACATGGTAAACAGTTCTGATGAAATATATGTAAACTAAGGATATGCTTGCACATGGCAGAATATGCCACTTGTTGCTGCTATGCCACTTGTCAGCTATCACACAAACGGCATGCTCTCATGAATTGGCACTTTCAAGTTTCAAGATCCTTCAGTTGCAAAAAAATGTTGTGACCTAGCAGCAAGACATAGCTGAAAATCTGAAGAGCCTAACTATACAGCCACAAAAAGGAATTTAGGAAATTTTCTGCGGTCAGGCCAGTGAACACAAGTTACAATAGCAGGTTACCTGGAAGACATCTAACGGCTTAGTAAGGCAGCACTAATCGAAAATGACAGCAAAAGCAAACACAAATACTCATTTATCATGTCACATAAAATGTGTAATTGTCATAAAAAGGTCAAGTAAATGAAGTGGGTGACACAGAAATTTTTTTTCTTTTTTGCAATCTCACCACTAACAACCCTGCAAATATGCTTGCCAGTATAGTTAGAATTCAATGTTCAAATAGTCAAACTTCGAGCGTTTATGAGGCCAAAAGTAACGATGTCAAAATTTGCACCAATAAAATAAGTGTACATATCATGAACACCAATACTAACAGGATTGATCTGACAGATTATGCAAATGTTATAAGGATTATGGCCAGTGTTGATCCTATGACCTAAATGATAAATTCAAGAGGTGCTTGAAATACATAATTACATATACATAAGATTTCTGTCCAATAAGTATGGTCCACATGCAGAATAAGGGGGTAGTGCACTGTAAGTTAGCATGGCTACCTTTGAGTCTAGAATGGAAGCATTAAACATGACAGGAGCATGTCTACCCCTTTTTAATAAAGAGCCTAGAAAATTGGCATTGATGGCGTTCTGACCTTTTCTAAAGCTTGGAATAGAAATTTGAGCCCCTTCACTCTCAATAGGAGAAAGGGGTGAAAGATGTGGTTGTTTTCTGTTCTGTCTTTCCTCCTGAGAGTTAGGAGATTCACTGCCAGGTAACTCGTTGGTTTTCTCCATTTTGTCCTGGACAGTAGAACAATTAGTGTCAAACGGATAAAATTGCTCTGCTACGTAGAGTATAAACAGAACCATTTACTAAAGTTGCAATCTGCTTTAGAGATTGAAGCATACCAATGGCTCCGATTCTGGATCCGAGGTAAAGGAAGTTGATCTTGACCTGTTCACACCTTTTGGATATTTGGAGCTAAATAGGTCATCGTCTAGCATTTTACTTCTGTGGGGGGATATTTTTATGTTTGCTGCAAAAGTAGGACTTGCAAAATCATCTGGCATGTCGCTGAATCTGTCTGCCAACGGACTGGCATCCTTCTGTCCAGATTTACCATTTATCGCAGGATTCTCATCATGTTCCCATGAGTACTTCCTCAGTACAGGAGATGGATTAGCAGCAGGAGAAGGTGTGGAGTTAAAACTATTTCTTGCTGCTGTTCTGTCTGAAGCTTCAGGGATGTGGGTATTATCATTCTCCTTCTGTTGAGGCGATATAGAAGAACATTTTCCCTTGCTCTTAAAGGAAGTAAGCTGAGGAGAAGAGAGCTTGTGTTCACCATCATTTAGAGTCTTGACCAGTAAATTTTCAGATAACTGCATCTTTCGAGCCCCAACATTAGCCATCGTGTTCACCCTTCTCTCCCTTTTAGGGCTTCTAGAACAACTCTCAGCAGTTTTTCCTGTTCGGGATAAAGAAGAAAAGGAGTTTGTTTTCTCACCTTTTTTCTCTGATGGTATATATTTAGAAGGTACCTTTCTTTCCATATCATCCTGTGTAGTCTTATGAGAAATCCTGTCCGAACAATGTGCCTTCTTTGGCTCAACTTTAGCCCTCCTACTCAAGCTTCTAAGATTCCTCAAGCTGCCAGATTCACCATTTGCAGATTTTCCTACTGTTTTAGGTGTGCATTTATCGTTGAAGGCAAACACATTGTCCAATATTTTCTGCTTGGGTGTAGAACGATGAGTAGACAATGGTTTCTTTGCACTCCCGCTCTTATCCTGATGTGTGGAGCCTGTTGGTTCTTTCTTGCGCCCCAGCGAACGAGTAATAGGTCTTACTTCAACTACTTGAGGACTGTCGGAGTCTGACTCAATTGGATCAGAGGATGGTTTGTTC